GTTAAATAATCAGAGAGCTTAAATAGGTAATCTCCTAGTTAGGTTGCAGGTATGGTGGCTAGTGTAGAACCCAGGCGCAGACTACTTAAATTAGGTACTAAAAGTACATGTGTGGCTAGTTGTATTCTCGTGAAATTGAAGTAATATCATATTTATCTGAATAAAGCTAAGTGCCAGGAACCTAAGTGGTCACCTTAATATTAAAAAAAAATAAATAAATATTGTAAATTTAATATAAACCTTCTATATAATCCATATTGATCAACTTATACCAAATTTAAATTTGATTAGTTTAAGAGATTGTCAGGTAAGGAGGAGGCGAGTTATAGTTATAGTAAATTGAAATTACCTGATAAAAGTAAGCTTCTTTATTACAAAGCACAATAAAATATGTGCTTTTTTGGTCGATTGAGGAAATATATCAAAGTTTACAAATTCTTATTTGATCAAGACTATCAATTAGCTGCTTTAATTTAATAATGCTTGCATTGAACATATCATCAGAAAACCTGCCTATTGATGATTCAGTAATAACTTAAAAAAATACAAATATTAAGATACTATATTAGCATTATTTACTGTTTTATCTAAATTGTGTACTTATTATATTTTTTTACTTGTTGTTCAAGTCTGTCTTCAAGATTAACTATGTGATACCAGTAATATAAATCTTATTTCATTGAAGCTTTAAAATTGTTGGCATTAAAAAACACTGGTATAATATATTAACTGCATTAAAATATTTATTATAATATTGCTTCTTATGATTTACTAAAAGTTGATTTATAGTCTCATTAAGGCATACAAACTGACCTTTTTTTCTAACAACTTCTCAATATTTTGTTCAAGCTCTAAGACAGATAATAATTTATTTATATAGTTCTTAATTTTAGCATTATAGAATTTGATATGTTGAGTATTTTGCACACCTGCATTGAATACTTGGTGTGTATAGCAAAGTATTCAAGCCTCTCTGCAATAATAGAGCTAGTTCTGCAAATAACTAGCAGTATCTATATATTTTTGTACAAATATAGCCCATCTTTCTTCAAAAATTAACTCAATACTCAAAACAATATTACACAAATTCTCTCTTCAAAAGTATCAGCCTGGTACACTAACTGGATTAAGTATCGTATACACCCTTCATATATTTTTACTCTACCCCAAATCTAGGTGAGCCTTGGCCACTCTGGTAGGTTTAGGCCGCAGATAAGTTTCTAGGTGTACTTAGTTATATGTCTGAGTTCTTATTCTTAGCAATAAGCTTAAATTATAAAACCTTTTCCAATCATGTAAAAAGTTTTCATTAAGTTTAATAAAGATAAGATCATGGTCTCACCTTTAACATTAAAAAAAAAATAAAAAATTAACTCAACACGACTATTGTGTGCATAGCAGAAATTTGCAAAAAATTCACACTATTTTTCACAATATTTATCAAGGAAATGCTTCTCCAAATTTTTCTGAATGTGGAATAAACAAAAGTGGTATTTTGTTATTAATAAAGTATTAATAGCTGCTACAATCATTGCAGGATCAGTATCTATATAAAGTAAACATGAAGTCAAGTTACTAGTTGCTTTAAAAATACTTGTAAACAACCATTTATAAGTTTCTTTTGTTTTATCAGAAACAAAGACTGCTGCTGCAAGATGAGAATGGTTATAATTATCTATAAGTATTATGATATATAATATCAGTGAGTGTGAAGTTTTAAAGTGAGTGTGAAATCTATAGGTGTTGCAAAATCTACATATAAGAATAGTGAGTTACACCTTGGTTAGGTTAGGAATAGATGGCAGTTGTAACCAGAGGGTTTAATAGGTATCCTCATAGTTGGGATACAAGTATGGCAGCTAGTGTGAAACCTAGGGCAGACTACTTAAATAGGCAACCAAAAGTTGCATGTATAGCTAGTTGTACTCTTGTTAGTAATAACCAAAAAGCTTAAATAGATAATTTTTTAGTTAGATTGCAGGTATGGCAGGTAGTGTGAAACCTAGGCAGACTACTTAAATTAGGTACCAAAAGTATACATGTGGCTTGATGTATCCTTGTTGTAATTATAACCTGAAGTTAATAATCTAATAAAAAGCCCATGGCTATAGAGATCATCTTAATACCAAAAAAAAAAATAATAATAATATTATTGAGTGATAATTAGTTTTTGTTGTAGAATCCAGAAGAACAATATTATGAAAGCATGCTTATAATTGTTTCTGGCTTGGATTTATTCAACAAAGCTTTGCAAGATAATTGTTCTTGCCTTCAAATTAAATGTCAATATGAAAAGTAGAATTAACTTGCTGTTTTTTATAAGTTTAAGGTACAACAAACCAGTATCATTTATTTTTCTACTGGATTAACTGAATTAAATTATATACATTATATTTATAAACATATTTATCTGGAAACTTTTTTTGTAAAATCTTAATTATTGTGCTAGCATACACCCCACAACTTGCAAGAAATTTTTTTTTATCACTCATTTTTGAAATAAGCCTTTGATAATATGCTGCAAACATATTTATATTATTTACAAATTTATGATTATACTGACCATTAATTTTTGATATATAGACCATGTTATCTTCCTTGTATTGATATGCATTAACATGGAATATGCAGCCAGTAATATAATAGCCACTATTATGATTATTAACAACCTATGCTTTTTTTTGAGATATATATAGTCAACACTTAATATATTTATAAGTATGATGCTAGAAGATCCTATTATTCTTGTCTTTTTCACTATAGGTAATCGTAAATACTATACAAGCTCACTCTCTAATTTATGATTATTAAGCTATTTACCAAACTCTTCCCAATCTCTAAAGCTTATATTTATTTTAATAGGGTATTGTAGTTCTGAATTTGTTTTATCATCATGATTTTTATAAGCTTTAGCTATATTTGAAAATGAATTTGAAATATTTTCTTTTTGCTCTATGACTTCATTATCTCTTTTATTATCAGTTTGTTCAAAAAAAAATCACTGGATTATTTGGGTCAAACGTATTTAAAAAAGTTACTATGTTACTGAGCCCAAATATATTAAAAAAAGTTTCTAGATTATCAGAATTAAGCTTATTAAAGTTTTCTGAATTGTCAAAATCAAATATACAATTATTCGTATTATCAGATTTGGTATCAAAAAAGGTTTTCAGATCAGGATCCAGTGTACCAAAGTTGAATGCATTAAAACAATTATCTGCATTACCTGATTCAGAATCAACAAAATTTTCTGTATTACCAAATTTGTAAATATTTTCTATATTCCCGGGTTTAAACATATCAACAGATATTAAATGATTAATACAAAGAAAAGTATAATTTAAAAATTTAGAAAAAAAAATAAAGTGAAGTATGATTTAAAAGTTGAATTGCAAAAAGAAAAAAAAAAAAAAATCTAATTTATAAAATAAATAAAATTTTACTAGCACTACTGGTATTAATATCAGTAGTGTAATTTTTTTTTTTTTTTTTTAAGAGAGGTTTTTTTTCTATTTCTTTATTTTAAAATATATAATATGAATACAACTTGTATTAATTTATATATTTAATGAAAGGGAGTAGAAGTTAGAGCTAACATTTACTCTTAACCTATTCTTAGCTAGAATGATTATTTAACTAACAAGAGTATGACTAGCCATACATGCAACTTTTGGTTACTTATTTAAGTAGTCTGTTCTAGGTTCCACACTAGCTGCCATACCTGCACCCAACTATGGAGATACCTATTTAAATCTTCTGGCTCTATTTCTATAACACGCTTTACCCTAACACTCTTAATGAGATTAGCAATACCATATAAGAACCCTAAGACTTTAGCCATATATAAGTATTTATCCTTGTAGTAAATCTAACAGAATGGTACATGTACCACATATGTACTCATCTGCATATTTGGTAACTTTCTCCAACTAGTATATGTTGTGTTGCCGCTACCGGGTCCATATCTCAAGCTATTGTTTTGAATACTGCCATAACCCGATTAGTATCTCAAGCCACAACCTTCCTAATTAGTTTCCACTTATGTACTCCTGCCTTTGCAAGGTTCACAACAATCTCAATACCCACGTTCCAACTTCCTTCTTTCCCAGATTCCTTATCGGTTCCTCTCTTACTTCTAGCCGGCAACCTGGAAGGGTTGGTCTGCCCAGTATAGATGCAGACTTATTGACGTTACTAGTTACGGCTCAATTGTGGTTTATTTTATAAACTGATTTTTTATATAGGACGTAACTAGGTGATATTATAAGTCTGCATCTATATTACAAACCAAATAGCTATACAATCTAATTTTCAATCTTGATAATCCTCAAATACACCACTTTTTAAACAAAATTTCTATATTTTTTACACTTAATTCAATTATAATATAACTTTTTCTTCATATTAATAAGCAACTATATACACATATCTGAATCTCTTACTGTCATACAAGATCCCATCTCAACCTTCACCTCCACAAGCATTCTTATTATCTGAATCTTTACACAACTTATATTTTTATATAGCTATTTCTAACAATACCATACATATATCTATATTTAAAGTATTATTTTGGTACTCTAACTAGATCAAATATCACATACACCCTTTACACATACTTAATTTATCTGAAATCTAGATTAGCCTTGGTCACTTTGGTAGATTTAGGCCACAGATAAAACACCAAATTCACTTTTATTAAGCACTTAGTTAGTTTGAGTTCTTATTTTTAGTACTAGACTTAAAATACAAAACCTTTTTTAATTATATAAAAAGTTTTCATTAAGTTTAATAAAAATAAAAGCATGGTCTTACCTTTAACATTAAAAAAAAAAAAAAAACCTACTTTACATAGTAGATTATATTGTAGCTTACATAACCTTTATATGTTACAATATAGGCAAGTTATATAACAATTTCTACTAGCATTAATATTGACAACTATAAAATAGCAAGTCTGTTGCTTAACTATCTGGGGCATTATATAACTTATGATCAGCTTAGTTAAAGAGAGGCATTTAGATTTGGCAAGTGGTAAATTTAGGGTTGTAGATATATATAGCTTCTACTTATGTTTAAACCTTGATATCATACTAATACTTATACTATTCTTCTACAATACTTTAAAACCATAGCTGAAATCTTCTGCTTGACCTCAAACCAGAACAACACAAAAACCACAGAATCTGCATATGTCAAGAGACTGGAAAACAATTACAACTATTCTTAGTATATTGGAAGAGTTGAAGAACAAGACCACAGTTTAACCTTCAAACCAGAATATAATAATCATAGAAGTCCTCAGTTCATCAAAAATCAACGGACAGAATTTTGGTATACTTTACAATATCACATGAGCAAGAAACAATAATCTTATTACTTATACACTTAGGTAATAGATCAGGGTATAAGTATTTTATTTAATGAATATATAAAGTAAGGAATTATTAGGAATGAATTTTATGTGAATCACGAAGGATTGTTTTCTCTCAAGGGCGAAAAGCCTTTATTATATACCTTTTCTATTTTATGACTTATTAAAAGTCTTATTCATGATATATCTTTTTATCTAGTAATTATATGCAATTTATTTAATCTTGTTATTACCCACTAATCATATAATTTACCAATATCAAATTTATCTTTTATTCTCTTATTTACTTATTTTTCACATTTTCCACATTTTCTATTCTTTCCACCAGTAAACCTATTGATGTGGTTTGTTTGTGTTTTAGGTTGTGAGGCTGTTATAGCAGCCCCAAAGAGTTGTATCATATAAAATTCTAAGAGGTATAAAAACCCTAGCTGTTCCAGTTAATAAAAGGAGAAGCGTCCTAGAGCTTCCCGATCAAATCATGAGTAGCTTAGTAATAACGATATGCCTTTCATTAATTTTTCACTATCGTTTCAATAAGTGACGCTATCATGTTTACTCCACAGTTGCGACTTGAGCTAAACTGTGTAATTATGCTAATAGCTCTCACAACCAGTCGTAAAAATGATCTACATAACCGTTGTGCCGTTACTACGCCACACCGACCACCAATCCTCCACGTGCTTCCGGGCTACAGCTTTACTGCTCACAACATCAACCCAGCCTCAATGGTTAAATAATATTACGTAATTTCTTTTCTGAATTAAAAATAAAATTATGTAATAAATAGTGTTCCCCAAAAATAGCGGGCAAGAATGGTATTAAGTTATAACGATAGCCTAAATTAAGAATAGTTTATATCACAATTAATAATTTCATCTCTGGGAGTTGTTTTGATACGTATGTTACAATAAATTTCTGTATTTTAACAACTCTACCTAACCCCAAAACGGTTCGAATCTAAATTATAAGTCGCGGTTGATGCTGAAATTTGGGGCCTCAGTTTAAAAACATAAACCTGCCAAAACCCACCTATACTCTTTAAATATCAAATCTAACCTAATCTCGAAAAAAAAAAAATGCCCTCAAACCTCATATAAAAATGGGTCCAAATTTCAATATCAGCCGCGACAATATAAGAACTAGATTAGGAAATTGTCGATTTGGAAATTAAATGATTTCCGATTGATTATCAAATTAAATTTATATGGAGAACCTTTTAGACTAATCATAGTAGTGATGGGACCTCCTGAATCATTAATAATTAATACGGGTTTTGGCCTCCTATTTTAGACAAATTAACAATCAAATTCGGACATAGTAACAATCAAATAAAAATCAATATACTGTATAAGACATCATAGCAATCAATTTCGAACATTCTAGTGATCAAATTTGAACATTTTAGTGATCAAATTTCTATAAGATGAGTCGAATGACACCAACATCGCGTAATCTAGATTACTAGTTCACGAAATATCGCTGTCACGATTTGATTGCTAAGATATTCGAATTTGATTACTGTCTAAAATTGATTGTTATTATGTTCAAAATCGATCCAAATGTGATTGCTAATTTGTCTATACGTTATAGATGGCCAAAACCTGTAATGATTATTAATTGATTTATAGAATTATTAACTAATAAAGGTAACGACTTGATAATATATAGTGCAACTAATTAGTATAGGATGTATAAAAAACGAAAATTTGCGTCAATATTTTCTCAAAAATTGCTGAGATATTGGCGGACTAACCTTTTATTAAATCCGTTGGTAGTTTATTTAATTCATCATATCGATATTATTAGCGATGATCGAAGTTATTAACTATTAATAATAACATTAATAACATTATTAATTTTTTCATTATTAACTAAAAACTCAGAGGTCCCATCACTAATTATGAGTGAATTCGTAATTTTGTAAAATAAAATCACTTATTACGATTTGCAAAAATATGTGAAATTTGCAGATCAAAAAAAAAAAAAGAAATCGATTCTGATTGCCGATTTCTTTAACATTTTTTTGCAGAAATAAAAGTTGTAGATTCATAAATTTATAATATATTTGATTTAGCATCTTTTGTAGGAATATAATTTGCATATTCATCATGTTGTAAAGAACTTGATTGTGTAATATTAAATTTTGATTCTTTTCTAGCCCGATAAAATTTACTATTACATGATAAAAAGAAGAAAATTTAAAAGTTGCGCCAAATTCGATCTTATAAGAATTATTACATGATACTAGAAAATTAATATATATATTATATATACAGTATATGTATAATGATAAGTCTTTATACGTATAGTATAATATTAGTTGATATACATACGTCATCAGGAGTAATGTTAAAAAAATCGGCAATCAGAAATCAGATTTCTTCACTTTCAAATTACTAGCGATTAAAAATTGATGTACGCATATACGTATACATTCGTACGCAAGTTTAAAGTTTATCCGATTAAAATGAAACATACGTCGAACCTAATGCAATTTTTTTAAAAAAAATCGCTTTTTTTTTTTTTTTTTTTCTATACAACATGGCTGCAAATGCTTTATTGGTTATTTTTATTCTTTCATTTCAAACCTTTGAAAAAAATGGTTGACTATTATATGAATAACCAAGAAAATGAAAGACATATAGTGAGTTCAAAATATGATCACTGTTTAGACAATATAAATACTGTATATAATATATTACTATAAGTTTATTTATAAAAAAGTTACTTTGTAAAAAAAATTTCAAATATTTACTCAAATATAACTTTCGTTCCTGGGTTTGCGCGACAATGTCGCGCAGCTACTTTATTGCAAATTGGTAATGTTTTTACAAAATGCACTTTATAATGCATATATTGTAGACTTAGGTCTTTCAATATATGGTGATACAAACAAATATAAGTTATATTGAGTTTTGCCTT